CATTCAAAATTCATGCTTAAATTTCATTGCATTGGAGTTTGTAGATCTTATTTTATATATTATAATTTTTTTAAGTATTAGCTATTTTCCTAAAGGAGATTTCAACAGTAATGCCTCCATTAAGTTTATCAGGCCTCCATTGATGGGTTAATGGAACCACATTAACTTGTAATTTGGCTCCTTTAAGTGAAGAATTTTGGCATAGATATTATTTTCTTGGTGGGTTTCCATTGACTATTTATGAGTATGCATGAACTTACTTTTAGGCTAGAACAAGGGTGGCCAAGCAGCAAAAGTTTGATGATGGCGGTCAATTGTGTCAATTAACACTTGGTTTGAGACGGGTTTTTTTATTGTTTTTTAAAACAATTTTTTAGTACAAACTACAAAACTGCTTTAAAAAGTTGCAGGAAAGTTGTCCCAAATGAAATCTAAATCAAATGTAGCTGATTTAGGTCAAATTGGTTAATTCTAGGCTTGAATGGAAGCTTGTAGGACTACAAATACCCTCATTAATCTATTTGGCTCATCAAGACCTTTGGGCTGAACTCAAAAGAAACAAGGAAAAGTAAAATTTGACAAATGCTATGCCTATTTCCCTTCACAAACTCCTACATATGCCAAGAGCTCCTAGCCACCTTATCTATGTAGTGGGACAGATAGCTAAAGCTTACTAGTTCTATGCAAATGGAATAATCACAAATCAGATATCCTTAAGTAGGTTGTCCTCTATGAAATTGAGCTTGCCGACACTCTTCCGACACTTAGAGCAAGTATTATGGAGATTGAGAGCATTTTATCTCATTCGACAACCCCTGAAACACCCAAGCACTTTGCTTAACTTGTCAGAGTTTGATATCCAAAGCATTGCAAACCACCTTAGTTCAAATAGATGCCTGCTGCAGCTTGTTGGAGCCAAGGGGAAGATGTGTGATTGAAATCCTACAAGTTTGTGAATTGTGGATTTAAACTCTTAGAACTCTAAAATCCATCACATATTTATGATAAAAACCTATCCAAAGCCAATGTGTATCATGGTTATCAGGAGGTAGGAGATGATACCTCAATCTTCTAGGGCATGCCGGTGCTGGACGGCTCTGATTGAGCCGAATGTTCTATGTAAAATCAAACCCTGTGCATGTGATCCCCAAGACCAATTGCAAGTAATCGTATGTTAAACTGACAATCAGTAAAATTAAACATAAAGAAACCAAAAATTAGGAGATAGCCATCAAAATCTCCCCAAAATGCAAAAAATCAAAATAAATCATGGGCTTTCATGAATGAACAGATCTACTCATTGTTATAATCATCCTCCTGGTCAGGATCTAGTGGAAGAAGTGTTGTAGCGTAAGGTGGAAAGATAGACAGCTGAGGTAATATGTTCCAAGAGTTGCTAAAAAAATGAATAATTTCATCATAATCAAGATTTTCAGTAAAATACTAGGAATTACTATCACTGATGATGTTGGAAAGCTTTTCATAAGGATTGATTGTAATGCAATCGAATGGAAAACACTTTTTGTGCATAAAAGCTTTCAATTATTGATGTTTCTTGTGATAACTTATCGACTGATACGCTCACCGGCTTATCAACCACTACCTCCAATTCTCTCTCCACTAAAGAAGACATTTACCTTTTTAGTTTTTAATCCAACATCACAGCCATTAAGCTCCAGCTGACTGCGGCTCCTAACTTAGTCTTTCATCATTACTGTTTACATTTTAAATGCCTTCATTGTATGAGCTATCAGT